ATTTAATATATAATTTTTATGGTAACATTTATAAATATCCTCTAAATCTACAACAAAACTAATATAAAACCATCAAAGAAAACTTAGAGAGAGTTGTGTTGTCTTTACCTCCAAGTTTTTGTTTTATTCCAAAAAAGAAACGAAAGAATAAAAACACCCAAACAAAAGCTTTGGAATTATTTATTTCAAGATTGAATTTGTCATTGTACTCTGCATTAAAAACTCATGTAATATATTAAAGATATTTGTGTCATGGTAAAAATACAATATAACTCTCAAAGTTTAGTTTATTTTTTAAAAATAAAGAAAATTTATAATTATACTATTATAATGAATAGGAAAATATTTCATGGGTTATAGTAATATCACCAGTAAAATTAGTTTTTTTCTCTAATAATAATATAATAGTTATTAACAAAGTGGAATCATTCAAATTATTAAATTAAATCCTGCTAAACTTAATTTGGTCCTGATCTGGATTGAGTTTTTTTTTAACACTTGGAGTTAATCCTACTTATTAATGATTTAATTCATGACTCGTATAAAATTTGATTTATTTATTTTAAATAATTAACAAAGTGGAATCATTCAAATTATTAAATTAAATCCTGCTAAACTTAATTTGGTCCTGATCTGGATTGAGTTTTTTTTTAACACTTGGAGTTAATCCTACTTATTAATGATTTAATTCATGACTCGTATAAAATTTGATTTATTTATTTTAAATAATCAATCTAATCAACTTAAATTAATTTTTTTTTGAATTTGAAAAAATTTCACTCTTAAATTTTTTTTTTTTGAATTTGAAAAAATTTCACTCCCCATAAAGTTCATTTTGTGAGTAAAATTTTAGCTATTTTAGATTTTTATAAAAAATACATGTCCTAACTTAAACTCGAGACCTACTATGCAGATCTCAAACCCTTTACAATCATATCATACCCGTTAGAAATAACTTAAATTAATTGTTTTTACCTAAATCACAAAACATGTTTGATAACTTTGAATCTAATATAACTAATTCTCATTGTTGAAAATAAATTCATTTATTAATAAATATAACTAATAAAAAAACCACTTTATTAAATTAACATGAAATATTTTAGATTGAATTGTTAATACTCGATTAAGATAATAAACCGAAACTTGTTTAGTAACTTTGTCCTAAGGTAATTACTACTCATTAACAAAGAAAGTGTCACTTATCATAAACATGATTAACAAAAAAACAAAATCACTTTTTTAATTTTTAATTTTCAGTAATTGGTTTGAAATTCCAATATGTATGCCTCTACCAACAAAAATCACTATTCAGAGGCTATATGAGCGTCATGTTCTCCATGCCCTTTATGTCTCCATATATGGCCGAAGCCTTGTCCCAATCTCGGGCCCTTCCCATCTGGTCTGTCCCTTCAAAGGCACCATGTAGGACTCCGTTGGTGGCATTCAATTATATTTTTGGTCTCCCAAAATGGGGTTTTATTAGAGTGCCCTTAACCACAGCTATTTTATTTCAATTTTTTTTTAAAGAAGATTTACATTAAATAAATTAACCCGAGTTGATTAATTCTAAATCAAACAAGTTTTATATTTATATATTAAAAAATCTAAACACAAAAATAGGAACATAAACCCTAAAAAATGTCACAACACTCCAAATAATTTCTTAAGAACAAATCTGCCATTTATTGGCACCACGCCACCATCTAACGAATTAATGCACAAACTATTATATTACACAACCTTTCAATTCTTTTCTTTTTTCTATTCGTGGACAATTCATCGTCTTCCAAGTGTTTGATCATGATGAGCCTCAAACGTGCCCATGTCAAGCACATCTAAACGTGGGTCTCCATCAGTTTTGCAGCTCAGGCAGGCAATGTTAACAATGGCCCTCATTGGAGAACAAGGCCGGCGACTCACTTAAACAATTAACATGGACACAAGACCTCCTCTTCTGCTTATGCAGTCACTTTCACAGCCCCCATTTTGCACATTTGGACTCTTCACTCCTTTACACACGCACACACACGTTCAAATGCGTTCTCCTCTCGAGTCTTCAAAACTTTATCGTTAACTTAATTAAATAGATTTTAAATTTATTTTTTAAAAAATTATTTATTTAAATTTTAAAATTATTAAAAAATTATGTAGTTGTTAATTTTAAAATTTATAGGATTTATTAAGATACACAAACTAATCCTAACATCTATATTAATAAAAAAAATAAAAAACTTAGTCACTGCCAACTTATCCAACCCTTGCAAATGATAATATTTCTTGAGATAACGTAGAAAGGAAGAAATGAATTGTTTGTTTTTAAAGGAAGTTATATTGAAAAGATTTGAGATTTTTTTATTGTTTACTTTAAATTAATATTTTTTTTATATTTTTAAATTATTTTAATATGCTGATATAAAAAATAATTTTTTAAAAATAAAAAATAATATTATTTAAATATATTTTGTACAAAAAATATTTTAAACAATAATTATTATGTTATATTTTCTTGATTGAAGGCTCACTTGCAGCAATTTTACAAGGACCGTAAAACAGCCATGCAGGCACAAGACAAGGGGCAAAACTAGGTCAACGGTTTCTTTCCTTTATCATCAAGAACGAATTTATTTAACTCGACATGCTGTTTTAATCACTCTATATATATATATATATATATATATATATATATATATATATCAGTTAGCCACAGCGTTACACAAACCATTTAAATCTGCGTTGCCGATTTCATTTTGGACCCAATTGTCAATTTTGAACGATTAAAATAAATAAAGAGAAAAGTCATCCTCGAAGAACAATTCAACTAAATAATCATGAAAAATGTTACAATTATTATTAATAATAATATCTATTAACAAGATAAACACAACCAAACATGATCTCAGCTTGATATTTTGCTCGTGCATTTGACAATTATGTAAAGATGGAGACAGGCAAGGAAAGATAAAAACTAGGAATTTACATGGAAACTGTATATCTATTTTTATTTTAATTTATTTCCAGATAAAGAGAGATCAAAATTCTCCACAAAGAAACAATAAGCATGAGGTGTCATGTTTAAACCAAGAATCTCCACTGCCTAATTATTGATTACTGATACCATTATTGATGGGGCCTCCATGGCTTTTAGCTGGAGTAGATGTTTAAACTTTAAATAATTGTTAATCAAAATTAAGGTGTTTGATTACAGGTATTATTGTATCATCTCCGTTTCTGCCTATATGACTAGGGAATTTGTAGGATTATTGTAGTGTTAGGCGTTTTTTAAAATAATTTTTTGTATGAAAATATATAAAATTAAATGATTTTTTTATTTTTTACATCAGCATATGAAAATTATCAAAAAAAAAATATTAATTTAAATATTTTTCAATATCAGCATATGAAAATTATCAAAAAAAATATTAATTTAAATATTTTTCAAGACAAGCATGCAGAAGCAAGAATTATGCAAAACATCCCCTGCGCAGAGCCAGTTTTATGCTATTGTATCCTGCACACAGAAAAGTATTCATATGCACAATTTTTTTGTATAGGGTAAAGGCTGCTTTTGACACTGTTAGCTGATATGAGTTAGGGCGCAATAATCAAATGAGATAAATAATTTAATGAAGGTGGTGGGGGGAATGATTGGAGACCAAACTTGGATCCCTATCCTCCTATGAAAATGAAGGAATCAACATAAATAAATAAATAAATAAATAAAAGGCACTCCCAGAAAAGACTGCAATGCCCAAAAAGAAACACAGCAGAACGATGCTCAGGTTCTTTTCTTTTCTGCAAAGTGCTTGACAGATTTACTGCCGCTCTGCGGTTTGAAATTGCACGAAATTTCTTGGAAATTTGAGTTTTTTTAATTAAAATTTTTTTATATATATTTTTTTTAATTCGTTTTAATGTATTAATATTAAAAATAATTTTTAATAAATAAAAATATTTTTATGTATATTTTAAAAAATAATCAATAACACACTTAAAAACAACTTTAATAAAGATAGGAGATAACTCACACATGCTCCAAGTTCTATATATAATTAATTAAGCAATAAAAAACAAGTTAACCTTTGGCTAACGCGAGCGTGGATGATGATAACATTCACAAGTTAAAACATGTTTTACCTGGGCAAGCAATGCATAAAGCATCTTAATCACAGAAGAAGATTCCATGATAACATCATTGAAATGGACTGAAGAATTTGAAGAACTCTTCCCTCCCAGCTTTCAAGCCAAGAAAGTCTAAGACTGTAATCAGAAGACCTATCAGACCAAACCTTGCATGTGCTGAAAGAAGACATTGAATTGCAAGAGAACAAAGCATGTAAATTTGTGATTTGTTCCTTTTTGTCTCTGGGATGAAACAGGATTTTTTTTTTTCCCTTTAGTATAAGCTAATTTTGTACTGTTTTATGTGAGTGGTGAGACAGAACCACAAGGAAACAAGTCAAGACAGACAGCTTTAAAGAATAAAAAATCACTTTCATAGAGCTTTCTATGACATAAAACAAACGATAAACAGCTGTTCTACCTCACTTTCATCGCTGTATACGTTTCCAACAAGTAACCTGATCATTTTTTCAATGTCAAAACTGAGAATTTTAACTTGCCTAATCTCATCTTCAAGCTGGACTCTCTAATTCCATTTCCTTGGTGTCGGCCTGTTTATTCTCTAATGGTAATAAATATTCTTTCTACACTGCTTATATTTGATCCTCGCTTGTTCTTCAATGCCCCAAATCTAGAAGTCCTTCCATTGTATCACAAAATGTAGGGTTGTGAATAAAAAGACTAGAAAATGGTAGGATTTGCCCGGTGCGCAGCAGTGTTTGTTTTTGCGGTGGCACCTGCTCTTGAAGTTTTTTTAGACACAAGGATTTAGCCAATGATCACAGTTTCACACACAAGGATTTAGCCAATGATAACATTGAGACCAAATTCATGTTCAAGACTATGGTAAAGAAGCAGAATTGATCCACGAGAGATGATAAGAATTGAAAAAATACATGTATTAAGAAGGAAGAAGTAGAACACCATCACATTTACACAAATTTTACAGGTACGAGTACCAAGAACAAAAAAGGATAGTCTTTGAACTTTGGCAAACACATTTTCATATTCTTCACACTTAAACCTCAAATGTGTCTGCAATCCATGATAATCCCAGACTGTCTTCACCAGTACATTGTAACCAATTAAACACCAAACAACAAATCCCAGCCCAAACCCAGACTTTATAAAACAAAAAATATATTAAATTTAAACAGAACAAAACTCCACACCTCGTGTTCATGCATCATGACCAAGGACCCCTTGTTATGCCATCCATGTCTTCTAAATTAATGGAAGTTCAAAACTCCACGAAGGCATTGATTCTTGAAGCTCATTCAGAAATGGGTTTGGTCTTTGACCTATACAGGAGCTTCTTCTTCTTAGAGGTTTGGTTATCAATGGTAAGCACAACCTTGCCAGGTTCACCAATTTTGAATGTGTCTGAGATCACAGGATCATCGGATGAGATAATCTTCCTGGTCTTTGATACGATAACGGTGTAACCATCCTCGGCGCTAGGCACGAATTCAGCTCCATAGCTCACATCCCAACCAAAAACTCGAAGCTCCCAAATGAGAACACATGCCTGAAAATTTCAAGAGCACACAATTTACAATCAATTGGATTTCATCAATGCTCTTCAAAAAAAAAAAAAAAAAAGCTTGAACAGGCTAATTAAATATAGGTACAAACCTCGGACACTGGGAACTCAACAGTGTGCTTTGATGTTGGCTTAATAGTAACATCTGTGACGGTATCGGCAACTGTGAATTCCCCATCCTTGCTCAGTCCACCATATTGAACTGGCACTTCTTCAGGAGCTATGTATCTGTCCATCATCAATAAACACACATAAATACGCTAACAGGCATATGGTAGATTATTTCAATGGCAAGAAATTAAAAGGGAAAAAAGAAGGGAGATGATTAAAGATAAACTTTAAACCACAAAGCAATAAAGAGGTGGACATATCAAGGTACTAGTCAGAACTATTAATGATCAAGCAACATACAGAATCCCCAGAAAGCAATTGATGATCAAACATCACGAAGCAACGATAAAGGTAGGCACACCAAAGAATTACACTTACTTGAAAAGTGTTTCAGCAGACTTGGATGGGCCAGCAAAAACAAACTTGCTCTTTGTCCTGTGTGTCAGGAAAGGGCTGATCATCTTATTGAATGTTAGGTACCACCACGGAACATTGATGAACACCTTCAAATACCAAAAGCCACATCAAATCAAGATTCTTTTTGCAAAAAAAAGAAAAGAAAAGTTAATCTGATTAAAAAGGAATAAATAGATTATCGATCACTTACATTTTTTGCCACAAATTCAGGATAATTATCTTGTAGCAAAGAAAGCGCCTGTTTAGTGGTTTGCCTGAGTGCAGTCTTGGCAGGTCCAGGGGAATTCTTGATATCACTGACCTGAACAATGGTGCAAATACCATTAGGACTAAAATCAAGCTTCCTGATACTCTTCTCCAGGAACTGAATCCTCCACTTCAGGAATTTCGCCCTCTTCTCCTCATCAGCAAAACAATTCTGATACAGCTCCTTGTCCTGGAAAGTGCCATAAACATTGTAGCACACAGGGTGGCCTTCCTTGTCAACTCCATGGGTGAAAACCACCTTTTCCAATTCAGCTCCAAGGTCTTCTTCAAGAAGAGCATCAATTCCAAATTCCTTCCTCCACTTGACAGTGTTCTTGATCATAGTAAATGCATCCTTCACCTTAAAATCTCTAGCTCTCAAGAACTTCAAGAGGATCACATCACTCCTCTCATCGCCAAGAAGTGGAATTCCCCAGATGAAAACTTCCTCCGGGGGTGGTGGAGGAGCAGCTGGGGCTGCTTCCTCTTCGGTTTTAGGCTCCTCTGCTGGAGTTGCCTCGGGTTCCGCAGCAGGGGCGGCCTCTTCTGCTGCAGGAGTAGAGGAGACAGCTACTATCGTCTCTTCAATTGCCTCAACTGTTTTGGCTCCATCCTCATCCACAGCAGCCACCTTCTCTGTCTCAGCCGGGGCGGATGGCTCAGCCTTCTTTTCTTCTTTTTTGACTTCTACTTTCTCTTCCACCTTTTCCTCTTTCACCTCAACCTTCTCCTCCACCACGGGCGCGGGTGGAGGTGGAGTGGAAGCCTCAACCTCAGCAGTTTTAGGCTCTTCTTCAGTTTTGGGTTCTTCGCTAGTAGAAGGAGCATCAGTCTTCTCCTCCTCCTTGACTTCTACCTTCTCTTCAGGCTTCTCAGGCTCAGCTGGCTTCTCCTCCTCCTTGGCTGGCGGCGGCGGAGGCGGGGCGGTGAACTCATGCTTGTTAAGAGCCTCTTGAATGAGTTGTTTCAAATCATCAAGGGCCTTTTTCTGAGCCTCGGGTAGTTCACCAACGACATTCGTCTCTTCTTTAAAAGAAACAGATTGTGTTATTTTCACCTCCTTGGTTGTCTCCTCCTTTGGTTTCTCCACTTCAACAACACCTTCAGCGACAGCAGTTGCTTCTTCAACCACTGCTGGTTTTGCGGGTGCCTCGGGCTCTGGTTCAGGAACAGGTGCCGGTGCATCTTTCCCAATCACAGCTGGCTTCTCCTCCACCGCCACAACTTCCTCCGTGGTGGTTGATGGTTGTGCCTCTGGTGCAGCAGGCTTCTGGGTTTCCTCAGCCATGGCCACAAGTTACGGTTTTTTGGCAAATGAAATTTGGGTTTATAAGAGAAAAGGAGAAACAAAGTTAGTGTCTTTACCCAAAAATACAAGAAAAAGAAACAAGAAAGCTTGTGTTTTTGTGTGTGAGGGAGAGAGGGAGAGAGAGAGAGAGAATTGAATAGTGAGAAGTAGAAAGAATGAGAGGGCTTAAAAGGAGGGGAGGGAGAGAAAATTGCATAGAAGGGAAGAGTGCTGTGTTCTGGGTCTGTTTAGAGAAGAAAGAAAAACCAGTCTGTCAGACCGGTTTGCCAGCTACTGCCACTTGTTCGTGGACCCGACCCGGACCCCACCCGCCCCATTTTTTTTTAACCGCAATACAGTTGGTACGTTTGTTCTTTCCTATGTTTTCTTGTTACCCCATCTGGTTTCATTGCTATGGGGTATCTGATTCGGTTCAAGACTGTTCGGAAACGATATTACAGTAGTTTTTTTAAAATGAAATAATGTTATTATGGATATAAATTTAAAAACATCACATTTTACTTGGGTCTGAAAAATGCCTTGCTTGTTTAAAAATTCTTGGATTTTTTTATTATTATTTTAGTTTTAAATTATTTGTTAATAATTTAAGATTATTTTAATATACTAATTCAAAAAAATTTAAAAAATAAAAAAATATTATTTTAATATATTTTCAAACAAAAAACAATAATTTCTATCATATTCTTAAATACATCCAAAATCAATGATATCATCAGGTCTTTAAATTAGTTGAAAAATAAAACCAAATACTCAAATCAAATTTTAGCTCTGTAAATTATAAGGTTAATCTGCTAATTACATTTTATTTTCTATAACATATTAATTCTACATGCTATTTAAATAAAAAAATTATTAGATTACGAAGAAAAAAATTAAAAAATACTAAATTAAAAGAATTATTTAAAAAAAAATTAAAATCTCAGTTATTTCATATAAAAAAAGCTTCTTTTTTTTTTCCACAGGAATCGGGGCTCCTACCAGCCCTCTGCCTCCATCACTGCTCATATTATATGTATGAACAGAAAAGGAAAATTAAAAAAAAAAAAAGAGTGAAGTTTATTTCGGAATTTTGTTGCGGGGAAAAATGATTGGGTAATTAATGATATGAATTTAAAGTAAAGGCATAATATGCAGAATTTCAACTTTACAACCCGTGACCACGTGTATCATCTGTCATTTTAATATCTGTACTCAATTTAATAAATAAATATTTTTAAATCCATCCCTCAATCATCGGGATTTACATCTTTCTCCATTTATTTAGCTACACCTAAATCCAAGGTTTATTATTTTACAAGAGAGGATTTTTCCTTAATACCTTCCACAATTTCATCGGTAATTTTCAATTATAGCGCCATTAAAACACATTAATATTTAATATATAGTGAAGATAATTTAAAGTGATGCACAATGATTGCCAATAATTAGTATATAGTCAAATTTGAAGCGAAATGTGAAATGTGTCTATCTTGTTTTCTTGAAGTGAGTGTATGTATTGTTCTTTTTAATTATTTTTAAAATATTATAAAATTTTGATGTGAAATGTAAAATACATCTATCTTTGTGAGAGCATAAAACTGTTATTTATAGTTATTTTTAAAACATCATATAATTTTGTTATCTAGTAATTAGAGTTTATTTTACCTTGTGTACATGTTACTAGTTATTTGCTTCATTGCAAGTTGTAAATTTTAAAAAAATAATATCAAGAATTCAGGTTTTTTCATATAATTTTTATATAAAAAAATTATACAAATATTTAATTAAATAAATCGATAATAATTTATGGGATTAAATTTATTAAAAATAACTAAAAAAAATTTAAAAAAAATAACAGATAAAAATAAATCAAAATATTTAAATATAAAAAATAAAAAATTTATCTAATTGTATTTATTAAATTAAATCAATGAAAAATAATTGAAATAGAAACATAAATAAAATCAATTGAATAAATTATATAGTTAATCTTGCTGTATTTTTTTATTTTAGTATATTTTTCTAGAGAAACCAGATTATATAGAGATTGCAAACGTGAATTACGGTATCGTCTATAGAATCTTTAATTTGGATCGTGAAAGATAGTACTTCTAGAATTTTTTCTGGAGCACGTGATGAATACTTAACGTGGTGGGTAGAACAATTACTAAACGGAAAGTGAAATTCTAGTAAAAATAAAATAAAACTAAAGGTATATTTAAAAAAAAAAAACTAAGATGCATGAGTGTTTTAGTATGGACTAATTTGGATCATTATACGAGTAAATGCTGTAATGATATTTTTATTATTTATATTAATAGCTAAGAAAATTCAAATTTAATAATAAAATAGTTTTTTCATAAGATTTATTTAATATTATCAAATTGATGTGGGCTAAATTGGTCTCTTTAAAAATAATTAAAAAACTTAATTATCTTTAAAAAAAAACTAGAATAAAAGCGTCTTTTTATTTTTTATTTTTTAAATAATAAAATGACTTAATTACTTTTAAAAACAAGAAATTATTAAGCTTCTTTATATGGTTTTCTTATGTTTTTATTTTTTTAATAGCAAAATGATGAATTTACTTTAAAAATTTAAAAACTAAGGTTATTGTCTAAAGGACATCTTCATCCTTTTCTTATAGGTTTTTTTTTTAATCAAGGATAAATTAGTAACTTAACAAATATGAATATTATTAAACAAAAGTTTCTTGCAAACGTCAGCACAGTACATGTAGTATCATTCAGTGACCAAACACTACTTTTAATGATCTTTTCATGATAAAACGACGCGTGTGTTCAATAGATATTCAATTTGGTGTCAATGATATTTTTTTTCACCTCCTTCTTGATATCACGTCGACCCTTCAAAATTTCAAAGCAGTTTTTCAATTATTTTCTTATTTAAATTTAGGTTATATTTTTTTGATTGTTATTTGGTTTACCCGAACTATATTATCAAATTGAAAATTGTTTTATATTTCACTCTCTTCTAGTTTTTCACATGTCAAATTTAATTTATATTTTTTTATTTGAGATAATTTTAAAATTGATTTGTTTTTTGCGATTTCACCCTCTTATTTTTTATATCATATTTAATCCTTATTTTTTATTGCTATCTTTTTAAATTTGACAAATTTATAAAAAAATATTTTTTTCTTTCTGATTTTATCCTTAAATATTAAATTAATTAAAATTTTAGCCTTTTGATTTAGTCCAAGTATGTGATTTCATGAGTTGTACATTTGAAAGATTAACCTAAATTTAGGAGATTTAATTGGGTTTGCTTTTTTTCTTTTCTTCAAGTTTTTTTTTTCCAGCTTCATTCTTCAATATTTATTTAATTAGAAATTGAGTCTCATTTCTCTTTGCTATTGAGTTATTCGATAATTAACCTTCATCATCTTATTTAATTTTTTTTTCATAAGATTACTTCGATGTTACAACCAGATCACAAATCTTGCATGCTGACTTGAGTGGACTTAGGTCATCTTTTTTAAACCTTTTTTGTATTTTATTTTTTTCTTTAATTTAATCCCTTAGTATTTTGTTTGTTGAAAATTAAATTTTAATTTTATTTTATTTTTTTACTTTATTTGAGGTTATTGTGCTCTCCTTTATTTATTTTTCTTCGTTATCAAACAAGATGCTTCAATATTTGATTTTTCTTAAAATTGATTTTTTAAAATTTTAATTTTATCCTTTAATTTTTAATTAATTAAAAATTGATATTAATGTTTTTTTATATGAGATTTATCTTAATTTTATATTAATGATCATAGGGTTAATGAATTTATTTGATTTGACTCGAGATATACAGATATACATATATATATATATATATATATATATATATATATACACATATATATATATATATAAAACTAATAACGAAAACAAGGTAAAAATACCAATCCAAACTCATCTAGATTAGCATGTCATAACACCAAGATATATATATAAACTTTATTTACTATCATTATATTTTTTAAAATTAAAAAATTATAATCTAGCGCACCACCTAACACCAGCCAACAATCTAGCACCATCCTAAAAAAATAATTCAAAAGATAGGGCCGCAAGAAAGTATTGCAAGGACATTTGGTGTACATAGATTCATAGCTGCTAGTATTCTACGTAGATTTTATTGTGAAACACGTAAGCTCAGGACAATAATTCTTAGCCTTTGAGTCTCAAACTTGATCAAGGGCGTCCTTGGATGTCTATTTGCTTTGATATAAATTTCACAGTTAGATGTCCGTTATAATCAAAGAATAAATCACGGCGTTGTTCAAGCAACGTCAAGTAAACTCAAGCTCGTTAATTACTAGGTTTTCTCTTATATCAAATTAATTTGAAACCGTAGCGGCTGTTAATACTATTATTATTATTATTTACTCTCTAAAAAAATACATATTTTTGGACTTGTGCCCGTGATTAAATCTCCTTTTATTTTTTTTATTTGTTTAACCATTCCAAATCTAATTGATAAATATGATATTTTAATAATTATAATCTAGATATTTTAATAATTTTAATATATTTTAAATATGTATTTTGAGGTTCTTTTTTGCTCTTGTTTTTAATTGTTTCCACTACAATTTTATTCAAGAATCCATAGTAGATTGGAGAATATATATACTTACAAACATGTTGAGATGTTAAGTGGAGAAATCGTTGGATCTCAAAGAAGAAAGATCCAATTATGAGCAACATAAAAAAAAAAAACAAATTACAAGTTTAGAAGTTTTAATAGTTATTTTTAATACCCATTTATTTTGGTTGTTGATCAGTCATTGTTGAGTCCTATAGGAAGAAATTATAGTAATAATAATATTAATTGTACTATCGTTAGTGTCTATAAAATACATTTTTTTATTTAGTAAAATTGTGTCAACTCCTTTTTTTTTTTTTAACATGATGAACTAGACAGGCCGAGTCTTTCATTATCTCTTGAATCACACCAAAATCAGCCTTTGTTAATTTTCCATAATTTTTATTCTGACAAAAAAATTAATGAGATTTTACACTCAAAAGTTCTCTTAGTTATGTTAAATGTTTACATATTTACGTAAATAATATTCAATTATGTATCTTTTTATATTGAAATAGATTAAGGATGCATCACTTAAATGTTATTTTTTTATTTATTAATTTATGCAAATATCTAAACTATTACTAAAATTATAATATAAAATAAAAATCTCGTAATCTG